CCAAGACTCAGCCACGACAGACTAGACCACTTGAACAGACCATCCCGACACAGAATTGAGTCAGTAATCAAATCTCCATAAGGACACAAGCTGAGGGCCATATGCCTTTGTGACAGAATTGTCACTTCCCTGCAAGGATTACAGGGAGGTGTTGTCGTGGCCATGGGACTGGGCTTCATTTTCCCTGCCCCCTCTTCCATGCCACCAAATCTCAGAGCCCTTAGATTACATCTCCCTACTGGTGGTGAACTCCCTGCAGGGGGCAGCTGGTGAAAAGGAAGGAGCAGGGCAGATACATGTGGGTGTGGTAAGGAGAGGAAGACAGACCTGAGAGGGGCTGTTCATGTCCTGGGTTTGGTGCTTTGGGCAACTTGTCCAGTGGACGGGACCCTGGCAGCTGCGTCCTGACCCTGTGCTCGATTGCTCACTTTGGATAATACATTGTAATTTGGGTCTCATCTCCCACCTCCTGAGCTCTAATCAACCCATAGTTTTTGTTGTTTTTTTTTTTTTTTTTCCACTGCCAGGAGGTGCTTTGGACTCCTTTTCTGGCTAAGCTGTGCACCTGACCTTTTGCCAAGATATTGTCCACAAAGAATTGGGTAATTTCATAGTCTGATTAGGAGTCTCTCTCCTCTTCTTCTGAACATCATCTTTTTTTTAAAAGAGCACTATCTGATCATTTTTGCTTTCAAGTAGATACAAATTTGAAGAAGTTACAACTCAACTTATGATTTAACTCTGGAGAGGCTGAGCATCCTGATGTGTGGGCTAGCAGCACGGTCCCCAGAGCAGATTCCAGAGTGTCCATGACTGAGGTTTCTCTCCTGGTGTGCGCTGACCCTGCCAAGACAGGTGCCCTCACCCCTGCTCAGAGCACGTCCCCGCCCCACAGGTTCTCTGTGTGCAGGCCTGTCCCCGGACCAGTGATAACCGGAGAGAGGTCCCCAGGGATCCTGAGGTGAGCACCACATGAGAGCAGGTGAATGTGAGACCAACATGCAGCCAAATTCAACCTGAGCCTGCTAACACCCCCTCTACCTTGCCCCCTTAGCAGGAGGGAAAATGAAGAGTTTGGGGGTTAGTAAGAAGAGTAAGATAAACTGAAGAATAAGTCTGGCTAAAGGAAATAATACAAGCAGATACTTGAACTTCCTTCCCACCCTCCCCACCCTCCAACGCACCCTGCCCCCATCCTAACTAAGGAATGAGATCCCCATTTCCACATCCAGGGATACCAGCCCCTCTCATCTGCAGGTCTTCTCCTCACACATGCCCCCAGGGTTAGGGAATTGGGTTACTAAATAAGAAAATCACAGTCAAAACATTCACAAATGCTAAAGGAAAAGACAGAACTGGCCCAGCTGTTGAATGGCCTGTCTCTCTCCAGGGGCAACTGTAAACAGGGTCAAGGGAAATGAAGAAGTGGGGACAGTAGAGTCCAGTCTTCTCAGTGCCTGTAGAGAAGGGCTGCCAAGAAGGGAGCAGCGTGACCACAGGCCCACAGGCTGGGTCAGAGGGAAGAGGCACCAGGGAGCTCAGGGAGCAGGCAGACCCCATAGCCCAGGGAAGGAGGGAAACACAGGAATTCCCTTCTGGGGACTCCAGCAGCAAGAAGAGCAATGGCTGGGCAGCTGAGGCCCTGGCTGTGCTGAGACGAGCAGCAGGGCAGGGGCAGGGCAGGGCCCATCTGACGCTCCTGAGTCAGAGGCTGGGGTGACATCAGACCAGGGATGGGCAGTGGGTGATACATTCTCCCCCCACTCTGGTGTGCACCCGAAAGGTGACGAATATTCAAGCACCTCCCTCCACAGATGTGTATCTGGGGCACTGCAGGCAGGGGCTGCCAGTTAGAGCAGGTGCACAAAGCTGGAATCCACTTCCCCTCAATCTGATGGTCTCACAGTCCCTTCTAACTACTACATTTGATGTTTGACTTTTCAAGAAAATGTACCTTCTATTGGACTTAGTAACTGCTCACTCAAAGAAAAACAAGGTAGAAATTTCAGATCATAACTTCACAGATCCCTCCTCCCTGCCCTGAAGCGGAGAGTCCCCTGAGGTCCTGCTGTTCTTCCTGGTACAAGGATTATTGTACTTGAACCTCACCCTGTATCAGGTCACCCAGCAGGACAGTGTCCCAGATTGTATCTCATTTAAAATTTTATCATTTTTTGAATGAGATGACATTGGGTTCCAATACCACGTATGTTTCTCTGCATAGGGCCACACCTCTCTGGATGTGTTACCAACCACACCGCCAACTGGGTGCTAAAACAGCCCATACTTAAAATTTCATCCTGGCTTCAAAAAAGCTATAGAAAAGAATTCTCTCAGGTCACTGAAAAGGAGAGTCAGAAGAGCAGGCACCTGATTTCTCCCCATGCTGCTCCCCAGAGCTCCCCGATTCCTGGCTCTCAGCCCTGCAGGGAGGCATCACACAGACAGGCCCTGACTGGGGCAGCTTCTGGATGCAGGTGCGTTTTATTGAAAGAAGCAGTGAGGAGGTTAACATGGGGCCCCACACAAGCCTGTGCCACCCCGCAAAGCCACGTGGTACAAGCCTCGGGCAGGGATGCTGGTGTGGGATGGCCAGAGCCCAACTTGGGTTATTCCCTTCAGGGCGAAGAGGGAAGAGCCGGGGAGATGTGGGCCACAAGGGTGAGTGGGGTTGGGGGTGCATCCAGGTTCAGTCGAGACCTACACGGAATCATCATAGTGGACAGGCTTAGGCGGGTTCCCGGAACAGGCAATGATGATGAATTTCATGCTGTTGATGGTCTGGTAGTTAGGTTTGGGGTTTCTGCATGTCAAATTGCACTCTGTGATGTTCATTCGGTACCTGCTTTTGTGGCAGCTGTTCCGCCTATACTTGCAGGGGATGTCTGGCTCAAGGCAGATGGCCTGGACAGCTGCCAGGGGCTCATGCACAAATGTGTTGATCGCCTTCCCTAAAATATTCCGGCGTCTCATCATCTGGTTGCAGTATGTGCAGCCAAAGGGGCCCTTTCCAAAATCCACATGCTGCCGCTGGAACCTCTGGGCCGGTGTCTCCCTTGGCCAGGAAGGCCGGGCCCCCACCAGCACCAGCAGCACCAGGACCAGCAGTGAGAACAGGACGAGGGAATTCAGAGCCATGGTGGCCGCGCTCCCCTGGAGGCCCCACCTGGGAGAGGAGAGAGGAGGGAAAGCCGCCCCTTAGGAGAAGGACCCCCGCTCCCACCTCTGGTCTCAGGTTACAGGTGCCCCTTAGAATAGCAAGAAAATCACCCTGTTCCTGTGAGATCTGCCAAGTTATCAGACACTATTGTTCTAAAAAGCATTTCCTCCTGCTTGCTAGAGAAACTCCATGTCCCCTCTATGGGTGAGCACCAAAGTGACCAAACCCTGGCAGTCCTGTCTGTGACTACTGAGTTGTTTTGATGTCAAATACATGTGTACCCCGTGCTCAAGTGCCTCATTACAGGATCCTTTTGCATAAACCATGAGCTGCCCTGACACTCAGGATCAGGCTGACAGACCCTGCTGTCCTCCAGCTCCAGGAGACTCAGCCCAGTGCCTAAAATCAGAAATTGTTGTGTTCTTCAGAGAGATGCTTTCTCTCCCAACTAAGGGCTGCTCTTTCCCCAGCCCACGGGGTCTCTGCAGCTGGCAAGCTCTACCTGGCCCCCAGCCTGCCTGGCCCAAGCTGTGTCAATGCTGGCCTCTCCATCCTGCTCCTGCCTCTCCAGCCTCTAGCAGAAGCAGGTCCAGAGACCACCTGGTGGGCACTCACCTGGGCTTCTAGCTTGGTCTCTGGAGAGTGCAGGCCAGTTTCTGTAATTCTGCGGTCTCTGGGGGTTCAGATTTTAAGAGTCTACAGAGGGCGTGGCTTCCAAGAGGAGAAGAGTGGGAGGAGCATCAGAGGTTGAGTCACCGGAGGAGCACAATGTGACAGGGGGGATTTGCCCAGGCTGCCCTCTGCTGGGAGAGGCCTCTCTCCCACGTGGATCATCTGTTTGCAGGTTCACCCAGCTAGAAAACTTTCCCATTCTGGAGAAAAGGGAGGAGAGCCTGAACCAGGAAGAGAAGGAAGCGTCTGTTTTTGCAATGGGCCTCCCCAGTTCTGGCCACTTCCTGCCCACTCTTCACCCCCAATACAGAAGGTTGAAAATTTTTGTTGGCAGGTTTACTATAGTGACAATTTGTCCTGGGATTAGAGCAAAGTAGAGGAAATAAACTCTAAATCACTTTTGGAGAAAAAATAGAGAACATCTGATTTCTTCCATCCTAGAAAGAGAATTATTTAATTTTAGTTTGATGTTTTCTGCTGAGTGACAATTTAAATAACTCTGACATAAATATAACAAAAATATTCACTGTTCTCTGGATTTAGACAGTCTTCGTCCAAATTCTGATGTGGCATCTTAAGAGCAGGGCAAATTATATAATTGAATGTCCCTCTTCCTCAGTTGCTTCATCTCTAAGAATTGAATGTTCATATGAACCTCTTAGATTTGTTACTAGGAGAAAATATAGCAGACACAGAAGCTTAGAACAGTGCCTAAAGCATCAATATATGTAACTATGTGAAAGTTGATTTGTGGGTGGTGGAAAAATTCCCTAAGAAATGCGTTAAACAACAGTAGGCTGAGCCTTCTGAGATAGTGTCACACAGGGCACGGTCTAGGGACATCACACTTGCTTTGCTCAAAACCTGAGCTGTAATTAGCAGGTACTTTTGAAGATCTGGGAAGAGAAGAGAGACCTGCTGGGAAGAACAGAATGCTTTAAATGGATTTTTTCATTATTTTGAGATGATATTCAAGAAATCTGTAAAGTCAACATTATTCTTATGTGCATGGATTTGGATATGGACGTGGGGCCAGGGAAGACCTGGTGGGATGAATTGTACCTTCATGCTCCTTTTCCCCCCACACCCCAACATCTACTCAGGTTTTGTCTGTTCTTACTCTTCAGTAGTATTCACATATCTTTTTTGTTTGTTTGTTTTTTTACAGATAGCTCCAAGTGTTTTACTTCAGGAAGGTGAACCATTGTGCAATGTTGTGGGCCTACTGCACTAAAGGGAGCTGGAGTTTTTGGAGAATACCTGTTTGCTCTACACATGGAGATCCAGAATGTTACAAATTCTGCAAACAGAACTTCTTCCCAGAATTGACTCCTTTTTTCTGAGGACCGTTGGCTTGTGCGCATGATCCCTACTAACCAGGAAACTTGTTCCAGCGGTAACTTATTAATCTGTAAAAGCAAAAACGCAATTGCATGCTATTTTCTTGTTATTTTGTTCATATCTTTCATAAAAACTTGGGCTGGGAGAGTGAGAGGCAGAGCTGCTTTCAACGGCACTCTCCCCAGCCTCCCCCTGCTGCAAATTCATTTAGACTCTGAGTCTTCATTAATGGCAGAGAAATTCATCCGCTGTCCTGTCCACAGCAGTGCAGTTTTCAGTACTCTCTTCTGTCTGTTTTGGATAAAAGCAACTTCCGCTGCAACATAAACAAAAAGAGGTGTTGGTTAACCAAACTTTCTAGAAGTAGATACAAATCAAATGTTTTGTTAACACCTTCACCACAGGACTCCTTCCAGAGTTGACTGGGGTCCTTTTTACCTTGTTCCATTAGTCCTATTTCTAATAGCATTTCTGCACTTTTCCACAACCTCCAAGCAAAGAGGAAGGAATAGCGTCATGCCGTTCTACAGAATTTATCTGGATCTTCAGAGGAAGTGCTGGTAAAACGAAGGGCTTTCCATCAGTGCCATTTCCTTTGGCCCTCTTGTGATATTCAGTGCATCCTTGTTTGTCTCTCTCAGGAAATAACTCAGTATCTGTTTCATCAAATATAGGGTCTTGTTTAAAAGTTCTGGAGGATGGAAAGTCCAAATGGGTGTTACCTGCAGCTGGGTCTAGCAAGGGTGCATTTCCTGGTCATAGACAGCCTCTCCTCATGGGGTCCTCACATGGCAGAGGGCTGGTTTCTTTTCTTTTTCTGGTGTTGGCAGAACACCTTCCTACCCACTTCGGTATCTATTCAGGGATTATTTAACTAACAAAGGACAAATTAATGGAAAATAGACCAAGTTTTCATATACATATGGAGAGAACACCAAAAAATGGCTCCCTGAAAGGGTAAAGATAAGGATGTATACACCAACTTAACAGAGAATGGAAGTGCAAGAATAGGAACTCTATAAGATGCAAATGTGTGTTTTTATTTATCTGGAAAGTTAAATGAGCTCTTAGAGGAAGAAATGGGAGGAAAGATAGTTGTGAGGTTGATTCACAGGGATGAGTGATATGACTTCTTCTTGACCATAAAACTTCCCCCAAGAAGAGATTTACAGCAGCTTTGCCCTCAAAGACATTTCTTTTATTCAGGTAAGGAGAAGCTATAAAAAAAAATCTTCTTTGCTGAATCCTAAATGACTTCAATTTAAAATAATCTTTGTATTAAATTAGTGACCCAACTAAGTAAGTCCTTACAGAGGTCAGTTTCTGATTTATCCATTATTCACTAAAGAGTGGGTACACAGAGATAACTAAGGCTCAGGGCCTACCCTTATTGTCCTGGAGACACAGGTTGTCAGTCAGGCCAGTGCCAACCAGGTGCTGGGTATGGCTGCAGGAAAGAAATCATTCTTTTGGCAACTTTGTAGTGAGAGATGAATACCAAGCATTGGTCCAGCAAGATAGCAGACTAACGGTTCAGGTACGAACAGGCCTGTGTGACTCAGAGAAGGATCAACATCATCCTTCCCAGGGCATCCCTCACTGTAAGGGGGCATTGTGCCTGTATGTAGCCAATCTTTGGTATTTTAATCCACCTACATGGGAGCCATCAAACCTCATGCATATTAGCTTGGCCCTTGAGCCCACTGCAGAGGTGCATCCTCCCTTGTTTCAGGGTAATAGAGTCTCTGTGGAACTTACTGATGCTTCTGCTGAACTAAGTCTAGGCTCCCAGCTGGAGTTCATGCAACATCCTGTCTAAGACACTACTCCTAACCACACACAGACAAGTCAGCACTGACTAGCCCCTTAGGGTGTTCTGCCTCTCTCCCTCTCACATACTACTCACCTGCCCCTCTCCTGGTCCTCCTGGAGGGAAGGGAGCCTCATGATCACCATATCTCAGGCAGAGAATTTTTCCTCACTCAGAATTATTAGACTCCTATTTGTCCCGACCCGCGGGATTCGGAGGCACGAAAAGAGAAGGGCTGAGTATTGAAATGAGGGGCTTGAGACGACTTGCCGCTAGCGGTTGCTTCTTTATTTTTTCTTTACCTTCTCTTACTTTTACATGTTTTTCTTTTCCCTGTCTTTCTACCTTCCCTGGCCTTCTCCCTGCTCCTCTCGCAGTAACCTCTCTCAGTATCCTCTCTCGTCTCTCTCTCGAAGTCTCTACGCAGTATCCTTTCCGCAGTCTCCTCGAAGTCTCCTCGCCTCATCCTCTACGCAGTCTCCCCTACATATCCTCTACGCAGTCTCTTCTCCTTATCCTCTACGCAGTCTCTCCCACTCTCTCCCGTGGTTGCCTTCTTATACCCTCGTAGCTCCTCCCATCCTACCTCCCAGTCCCACGTGATTTACAGGATAACGCAGTGGTTTCTCAGAAGGAGAAATGGTAAATCGAAACCTAACTTATTGCACGCATGCGCAACACGGCGCATGCTCCAGGAGGCTCCGGACACTATTGAGAAACCTGACCTAATATTATTTGTAGATAGTAAAACCATATGACCAAGATAGTAAAACCATATGATAGTAAAACCATATGACCCCAAACTGCTAGTGGGTGTGCGTTCTAAGGCTTCTGACCATCTGCGTGGACAAAAGCAAACAAAACATCTTAGTGTGAAATATCTTTAATAAATTTGCGGTGCATAGAGACAAATAATAAAACTAATAAAGACTAATAAAACTCCAAATATTACACATCCCTTAATGGATATTGCCCAGCCAAACAGTGCTTGGCCAAAAGGAGCACAGTTGAGGCCCAAAAGCTTGTCAAAAATCATCATGGTGGCAGGATAATGGGTATTATCTGAATTTCTTCATGAAATCCCCATCATAGCGTAAATGATCGACAGGCTTTTCTGCCCTCCCACCATTAGGATTGCCCGGCCTGATGGGGTACCTGCAGTTGTTACATTGTACTAAGCTGTGCTGTTTACTCCTACAGGCCATGGGAGAAGTACTGAGATAACCCAGGGGAGAAGCAGAAGGAGAGAGGCAGGAGAGAGAAGGGGAGAAAGAAAGCCAGAAGAGAGAGAGAGAGAAGTCCAAAGTGAAGACTTGACAGGGGCTGGGGGGCTGGGGGCCTGCCGGCCTCCTGGCCCCCGGCACCCCTGCCTGCCATTTACCTGCTTGCCACACTACATGTAAAATTCAATAAAAGCCTGAGAAAGCCCCCTGGGCTCCAGGACTCCTCCTTTACCCGATCTGGTCTGCTGGGATCATAGATAACCTACTCTGTGCCCATCCTACCCCTACAGTTACCTGTCAGAAACACAATCCTAGGAAAACTGTAAAGAAAGAAATAGCCAAGAAACAAAGTCTCCAGGCACTTTTACATCTTTAGACTTTTATCCAGCTTCTATCCTCCAAGGGATTAGAATATGTTTTACTTTGAACTTCACACATGTATTCCCACCTGCTACTCCTTATGGACACACAGGCAATTCTGTCCAGGAAAACAGAGGTCACCCCTATGAATTGATCCTGGAAGGCCTGTGCATTTAGGAATCACACCTCTAATACTAGACCTGCCCTACTGCTTACAGACATGACAAAACATTGCAAGAGACTCATGTAGAAACCCAATTCTATCACCAACAGGTGAAGGCCACCTGACAACAACATCTTTCTGAACAACTGTATCATCCTCTTCAGCCAAGAGATCTTAGCTATTGGAAAAGACAGAAGAGACAAACTGTTCGTGAGCCTGGTTGGAAGCACCTTATCAGGTAGGACTAATGACAATGTCGCAGCAGCGAAACTTCGGGGAGTTAATCATTGGATTAAAGAATGCTGCAGTCCAGCATTATCTCTCAACTCCCTGCTTCGGGTGCCACTTGCCAGGGACCAGCCTCCGGCAAAATGTCATGTCAGGGGTTCCTGAAAGGATGAGACGGCCTAGGCGACATGTTAGGGGCTAAAGGGAAGGGGATTAGGTAGTGAGGAGACACTGACACTGCATGAGGTGCAAGTATCTTCTGCCAAGAGACTCAGCAGGTCTTTATTTATTCATTTTTAGTAATCAGAAAAATTGCATCATCATGTGCAAACCAGAAACAATTAGTGTGTTATATTCCCGTGGACTGCTGGCTCCTTTGGGTCTCAGCTAGACTGTAGCCTTCAAGGTTAATAGATAAAAAACCAAACCTAACAGTAAAACTTATTATTTCAGCTAGACAATTACCGAAGACAGTTGATAGCCACCAGTGCTTCCCTATCAGCTAAAGCCTAAGCATCAAAAGACGATTCTATTCATATGGCCTTCAGCCGGAGACCAGCTGCTACTCAGCTATCAGAACTTTTTCTACCTAGAAACTTCTTAACACAGTTAACTTCATTTAAAAACTTTCCTAAGAAACTTCTAATTAAAAAGGAACTTCTGAAAAAGCAAAAGAAGGACTTACTATAATAGTTGTGCTGGTTTGCTTGTCAGATATGTACAATAAATCTTCTCCCATTGTCAAGCGGGCCAAATTGTTTAATAACTAATTTCTAAACAGAAAATTTTCCATGCCATCCACCCAGAGTCTGCTGACACGTACAATCCACTGCCCAGTATACTCTCTAATACATTTTTCTCTCTCTATGACTAAGAACAAAAAGCAAAGGGATGCCAGATCTTCAGCCCCATGGTGTGAGGCCCTTTCTCTTAGCTGCTTGTCAGTATCCTATCTGGCTGGGGCAACAAGACCCCCTGCAGCAAAAGAATTCTCCTGCCCAGCATTTTACTTCATATGACAAACAACTACAAAAGGGCTAAGGCTTTCAAGGGACACAACGATCCTGGTTCATTATTCCCACGTCGAAAGACTTCCCATTTCTTGTTCTGTCTGTTCCTGCCACACGCTGAACAGCTCAAACCAGGAAAGAAAGGAGTTCCATCACCTGAGCCCTGGTTTGAGGACCCCAAGCACAGGTTTCACTGTGCTCTGTCCTAGGAGCTGAGGGAAGATGAGAGGGTCTGGTGCTGTCCAAGTCTGTTCTCCAGACACAGAGATGGCTCCCAGTTCCTGCCTCCACTCGGCCTCCAGACCCTCTCATCTTCCCTCAGCTCCAAGGACAGAGCACATTCTCCAGATGTCCTTCTCCAAATTATGAACCTTGAGTCTTTTTTTTTTTTTTTTGATAATTAGTGGTCAGTTCTCATCCACATAGTAGTTTTTAAAGTGAGACAAGTACGTAGGTAACCAACCTATAGAGCTTGCTTGGTGACTCTTCCTCTGTGTAGTATCAACCACAAAGGGACACATTCCTTATTCTTTGGTCCCAAACAGCTTTGTTGAAACTGGTGTGGGGGTGGACATCTGGACCACCAATCTCGTTCAGAGGTAATTGCCTTATCTCTCTGAGTGCTGAGGGACATGCTTGATACCCCATGTGTCTGGAGATGGTGTGCTGTCTGCTCAACACCTCTTTGATGGCAGAATGGTCCTTCTCACCACCTTTCCTTACAAGAACCACTCTGAATGGCCCAACTGGGAAAGGAAGGCCCAGGACCTTCTAAAGGGAGGTCAGACATTGTCCAGTGCATCTGAGCGAGCATAAAGATGGCGTGTCTGTGGTTCCTGAGTGATGAAGACCTGATCACCTTCACTCTGGGTTGTCCAGAGGTGTGTTGGTTGCCCAGACTAGGGGATCCCGCCCTGTCCTTCAGCTCTTCAACATTTCTCCTCTAAAGCAAGCAACAGTGTCTCACCCTTTACCCAGGGAATAGTCCACTGCACCAGCACTTCTGAGAACTTATCACATGCGATAGTTATTGTGAAAGCAATAGCTGGTAGAAGAGGAGACAGCAGATCTGAGAATTGTTAGGGGGAAAGGATGTCCTGAGCTAATCCCATACAGGCTTTTTGGACTCCACCCCCCACTCCAGACCAAAGCCATCAAGATATTGGGAAAGACAAATCCTATCATCAACAAAGGGAAGGTTGCTGGGACCTGAGGGTGGAGTTAAGCAGCCAGGTTTGGTATAAAAACCAGACACAGGAGCCTTGGGGTCTCTCTCACTTGCTCGCCTCCTGGCTTCACAGCTCGTGGCTCGCAGCCAGCTCTCAGAGTGCCATTTGGGATTCCAGCTCAGCGGATCGGGTAGGACACATTTAAGTCTTTATCTACCACTTTTCTCCCTGCATTGTACATTTCCTCATTTGCCCTACCCTTGTAAATAAACCTTTTATTAATCTTTTGTGTGTAAAGTGTTAATAAGTCCTTTAAGTCCTGCAGTAGAGTATTAATAAGTCCTTTTAAGCGCATGGGTGAGAACCCACAGTCAGGGAACCCATTTTGTATCAGGGCTATCTTCTAACAGTTTGGCACCCAACGTGGTTTCCAAGTTACACCCAGGGTTGGCCAGCCCAAAGTAACTTTCCTTAATGAGGGATGTGGGAACCTGGGGTCTGCATTCTCTGCCATAGCCACTGACCTTCTTTTCTTCCTAAGAAGAGCTAACCAGTTAACACAAGGGTTTATTTAAGATCCAAGAGCTGAGCATCCCCCCCTCAACAGAAGCAGCCCTCAGTTGTAACACAAAACAGACCTTGATAAGAGCCCAGGAGTGGTGAAGATGACACAACAATGAAGGACAAGTCTCCTGAGCTCTGTCTCCTTTATTGGCCAAGGGCACCAAGACCAGCTGGCTCTCTGGTATCAAGGAGAGGTTATTTGTCATCATTTCGTGGAAAGAGCAAGAGTGGGAGGAATTCAAGGCAGTCTTCACAGGAAAAGATATGTTGGGAGGGACTTTTCATGATAAATATTTTTTCATTAAGAAATAGGAGTGGGCAATTCAAGGAGAAACATTCCCAGAAAGAGAAGTAGAGACACGTGACACAGAACTATGTTTCCAAAACAGTAAATTTCCCCATGTCACTGGGAGGCAGGGGCATTGCTTAGGCCAGCATAGAAGTATCTTAAATGCCATGTAAAAGAAGTCAATATGTAAAAGATGGACAGTTACCCTGAATTCAGGAATGAAAGTGACAAGCAATGGAAGGATCTTCCTCCAGGGCTCCCACTGCAGGAGGAGGCCGAGGGCCAGGGCCAGTCCTGCCTTGGCAAGGTCTTGTTAGCAGGAGCAGAAATCAGCCTCAGGTCCCTGTTTCCAGGGACAGCAGCAATCTGTGGGGGCAGGAACCCTGGACTGGGGAACCTGCCATGGGACACACAGTCAAAGGGGATCTCTCTCTTCTCTTGGCTCTGGATTTCCCTTCAGATTCCCCTAGCTCATCTCCTGCCATGGTGGGAGAAGATAGAGATGCCTTGCCTTGACCCCACTCGTGATGGTAAGGACTGGGGATTCACAATTGGGAGCACTGTCCTTTTGGATCAAGCAGAGTGAGGGCCAAGAATGCAAGGCAGGCATGAGCAGGTCAGGGCTCGCAGCTCTGTTGTGTCTCTGGGGGACACTGGAGGAAAGGGAGCCTATTTTGTAGGAAAAGACCCCAGAAGGACAGTTCCTCCAAGCAGTACCTTCCTCTCTGAAGGGGTCTCCCTGAATGAGGGACTAGTTTTTAAAAGTGTTCAAAAACCATAAAGACCACAGAATCATTAACTAGCAGGTGATACACCCTTTGCCAAACCATATTGTTAACAATGACAAATGAGGAGCAGCAAGTTGGGTATAGGGTGCGCTTGTCCTGCGATAAACGGGTGCGGTGCACACAAACAACTCTGCACACACACTAATATAAGCTGCTAGAAATCGCAGACTGTAAAAGGACAAAACAAACTGAGCACTCATCATTTTCAGAAACAAAATTGGGACCAAACAAAGACAAGAGGAGGCATCTTCTCACTGTGTCCCCTTCCCAACGCTTGACGCCCACCTGGACCATCCGTGCGCACCATCCAGTGGAAACGCCCGGGCCACTTCACACCGCCCTGCTCAGCGCCCAGGTGGGGTCTCCAGCAGAGAAAGTCACCCTGAAGAGCTGATGCAATGACACCTGAAACCCCCAAAAGGAGCAGCCAGATTTGGCCTCAAGGAGAGACTTTGTTCTTGGCACAATAAGGGGGTTAGCTCTGGGGCGCTGCTCACTCCCCCGGGTCCTTCTCCACTTCCACTCTACTGTGGGCAGCTCCTCAGTGTGCCCATTGCTGTCTGCCAAGAAGGGTGTTTGTTATTATCCCGCGGCAATAAGTTAATGAGACAAAGCTTGGGATCCGAGTCGCAGCAGAAGGGTAAGAATTTTGCACTTTTGCAAAAGACCTGTTTTTGAGATATTTTAATCACACGTGTGTGTCTGTTTTTCTGTTGTTTACTCAAGGCTCAAAGGCCTATTAAAAGTTAAAGCCCCGGGCCTCCCCGGTGGCACAATGGTTAAGAGGCAGCACTATAAAGCGATCTGCAGCCGCTCCAGCACGAGTTCGAACCCTGGCCAGAGAAGTGACCCACATGGCGCAGCAGATCTCTCCTGCCTAGCCTGCTGCTCCCCACAGCAGTGTATTTCAGTACATCTGCCTGTTCTACTCCCCACTCTGTCTCTGATGAATCCTTTCACCTCCCGCATCTCTTACCTGCACCCCAGCTCTTATGTGCATAAATAAATAAATCTTCAAATTGAATAAATAAAAGATAAAGCCCCTCTCAGGCTAAGTGGAACAGCCTGCGCATTCTCATCGCAGCAAGCCCATGGCGCCCTCTAGCGGGCAGTGCGGCAGATGCACCGCTAGAGGAGAAAGAGGTGGAGCCGCCAGGGCAAAGCAGCAACTTGCCTAGATCAGGACCAGAGGCTTCGGAATTTTTGATAGATTGGAGCGCCGGATCAAATTGACACAGAAAGCATCAGCCTGAGGTGCGGCAAAGTCTTGCCGAAATGGATGTTCGCCCACCCCCACCGAGCACACGGCGCACCTGCCTAAAGTTGTGCTGACGCGAAGTGAAACTCAGCCGAGTTTTGTGCTGCTCACCCACTAGGCTGCCTCTTAATTTGAACCATGAGCTACCGTGGTTATAGCAGTTTTCTGGAGACAGAGGGGGTGAGGGGGGGTAGAGGTGTCCATCTGAGTCCAGCTGGAAGGCTTCCCAGTTCTGGAGAACAAGGGGGACTGCCGGAACCTGGAGGAGAAGGAAGCCCCTATTTTGGCAATGGGCGCCCCCAGTCCCGGCCGCTTCCCGCCCACCCTCCACCCCCACTCCAGGGGCTTGCAAATGAGCACGTGGCAGGTGTATCTACATTACAGCCTGTCCTGTGGGTAGGGGTTATGTAGTGGCACTAAAGATAGAACAAAACCCATTTCCCTTTTCAAGAAAAAAGAGAGACCATATTTCGTGGCATCATATTGCTTTCCTCCAGGTAGAGGTGACAAAATTGAGGTAAACAGCGAAACACTGTTTATCACAGAGCAGGGCTGCTGCCGGGAAGACCCTCACTTATCTGGTGTCACCAGTGTCTCGAGGATGGGGGTTGTGTGAGAGTGAAGAGGAACAGGGTAGAGAGACTGCTTGTTCCCAACTCCATCCTATCAGATGAACTTTATAACCATTTATTGAAATTCATTTAAGTGAACTTGGCGTGGGACTGGGAATTTGGAGATGATTTTTAAAGACCCCATGAGACTGTAACGGGCAGCCCAAATTGGGTCAGGGAGACATAAATCCACCCTGGGCCCCAGGCTGTGACCTGTCTGGTGCTGCCTGGAGCAGTGTGGGCTCCACAGGCTTAAGGGGAAGGGGAGGAAGGAGGAAGGGGCAGGACAGCATGAGGAGGAGGAGGAGAGACCAACCATGTCCACTAACATCAGCTGTTTACTTCAGAAAGAAATTGCTGCCTCCAACCTAGTATGCTGTTTTGAGGATCTTGTCTCTGAGATGCCGAATCCAGCAGGAGGAAAGACAACCAGAAGGTTGAGACTGTTGCGCTGGCACCTCAAGAAGGTAATGGAAACAGGACTGGGAGAGGATGAGACCTTCCCCATCTCTCATCAGTGTGCTTCCTGTGCCTTCTTGCCGTTCTCAGGAACATTCTCACTTCCTCTGCTTTCCTGTCTCACCCACATGGTGTGCAGATGCTCGTGACACCTGCCATTTCTCTCTGAAACATAAGCTGCTGGTGGAGGACACCCACGATGCCAGTCGGTCATGACCAGTCAGTGTTGAGTTGCACATATCAGCTTCCAGGAGACTCTTCCTCTTCTGAATCTTGTCGTTTTTATTTATTTTTTTTTATTTTTTGAAAAGATTTATTTTATTTATACAAGAACCAGAAGACAGGCCAGATTGGCGGGAGGGTGAGAGGAGTCACCAGAGACAGATTGGGGAGCAGAACAGGCAGACTGCTAAAATACACTGCTGAGGGAAGCAGCGGGCGTGACAGGAGAGGTCTGCGGCACCATGTGGGACCCTTGCCGGACGGCCGGGATTGAACAGGTGCTGCGGAGGCTGCGGACAGTTCACAGCACGGCGCTCAACCGCCTGCACCACCAGGGGAGGCCCCCCTTATCATTTTTAGAAAAAGCACTATCTGATCATTTTTGCTTTCAAGTAGATACACATGTGAAGAAGTTACAACTCAAGATTTAACTCCTGAAAGGGTGAGCAAACCTGATGTGTGGGCTAGCAGCACAGTCCCCAGAGCAGATTCCAGGGTGGCCATGACTGAGGTTCTCTCCTGATATGTGCTGACCCCGCCAGAACAGATGCCCTCTGCCCTCTGCTAGGGTCCCCTACTCAGGGCATGTCCCCGCCCCACCCCACCTACTCTCCTGTGTGCAGGCCTGCGCCTGGACCGGTGATACCCAGAGAGAGGTCCCCAGGGATCCTGAGGTGAGCACCACATGAGAGCAGGTGAATGTGAGACCAACATGCAGCCAAATTCAACCTGAGCCTGCTAACACCCCCTCTACCTTGTCCCCTTAGCAGGAGGGAAAATGAAGAGTTTGGGGGTTAGTAAGAAAAGTAAGATAAACTGAAGAATAAGTCTGGCTAAAGGAAATAATACAAGCAGATACTTGAACTTCCTTCCCACCCTCCCCACCCACCAACGCACCCTGCCCCCATCCTAACTAAGGAATGAGATCCCCATTTCCACATCCAGGGATCCCAGCCCCTCCCACCTGCAGGTCTTCTCCTCACACAGATACCCCCAGGTCTAGGGATTCACGTGACTAAATAAGAAAAGCACAGTCACAACATTCACAAATGCTTAAGACAAAGACAGAACTGGTCCGGCTGATTGAATGGCCTGTCTCTCTGCAGGGGCAACTGTAAACAGGGTCAAGGGAAATGAAGAAGTGGGGACAGTAGAATCCAGTCTTCTCAGTGCCTGTAGAGAAGGGCTGCCACGAAGGGAGCAGCGTGACCACAGGCCCATAGGCTGGGTCATGGAGAAGAGGCGCAGGGGAACTCAGGGAGCAGCCAGACCCCAAAGCCCAGAGAAGGAGGGAGACATGGGAACTCCCTTCTGGGGGACCCAGAAGCAAGAAGAGCAATGGCTGGGCAGCCGCAGTCCTGGCTGTGCCGAGACGAGGAGCAGGGCAGGGGCAGGGCACGGGCCTGTTGGAGGCTCCAGAGGCTCCTGTGTCCGAGGCAGGGGTGACCTCAGACCAGGGATGGGCAGCAGGTGGCACATTCACCTCCCCCCACTCTGGTGTCCTCCCCAGAGGCAACTGTTCAAGCACCCCCTCCTCAGACAACCATCTGGGGCACTGCAGTCTGGGGCTGCCAGTTAGAGCAGGGACACAAGCTGGAACCCACTTGCCCACAATCTGATGATCTCAGTCCCTTCTGCTCCGACATTGGATGTTTGGCTCTTCAATAAAGAGCTTCCATATTTCTGATTTAGTACTAGCTCACTCAGAGAAAAACAAAGTGGAAATTTAGCATCATAACTTCACAGATCCCTCCTCCCTACCCTGAAGGTGAGCAGGGTCCCCTGACATCCTGCTGTTCTTCCCTCTTCAGGGATTATTGTACTTGAGCCTCACCCTGTGTCAGGTCACCCAGCAGGACAGTGTCCCAGACTGTATCTCATTTAAAAGTTTTTTCTTTTTTTTTTTAAGAGATAACATTGGTTTTCATACCACATATGACTCGTGGTACAGGGTCACCCTTTCTTTATATGTATGTTACCAACCACACCCCCACCAGGTCACCCACAATCCCATAGCTCTCTTCTATCTGAAACAGCCCACACTTAAAATTTCATCCTGGCTTCACAGAATCTCTAGCAAAAGAATGTTCTCAGGTCACTGACAACTAGGGTCAGAAGAGCAGGCACTTGATTTCTCCCCATGTTGCTCCCCAGAACTCCCTGATTCCCAGCTCTCAGCTGGGAAGCATCACACAGACAGACAGCTTCAGGTTGCAAGTGTGTTTTATTGAACAAGGAGGTAAACATGGGCCCCACACAAGCTGTGCCCCACTCCCCAAAGCCATGTGGTGCAAGCCTCAGGCAGGGATGCTGGTGGGGGATGGCCAGGAGCCCAACTTGGGCTATTCCCATTTGGGCAAAGAGGGAAAAGCTCGGGAGAGTGGGGGCCATGGGGATGGTTGGAGGTGGGGTGCATTTCTATCCGGCCTTAATTCTCCACACGATCAAGGTGCATGGGCTCACCCCGGTCACTGCAGGCAATGGTGATGTGTCCTGTTTCCAGAGTGGTGGTGTAATCCAAGGGCCCCCGGCTCATTGCACAGTATATGAGATTCATTGGGGACCTGCTCCTGTGGCAGTTCATGTTGCCATTCTTGCAGCGGACACTTGGCAACTCGCAGATAGCCTGGACAGCATCCTGGGACGCGCGCACAAATACATTAAAGTCTCGGTCGAAAATCTGCCTAGCCCTCATTTGATTGTGACAGTAGGTGGTAATGTTATTATAGCGTGAACGGGTTTCCAAGTGCAGCCGCCGGAACCTCTCGGGCCCAGTCTCCCTCAGCGAGGAAGGCTGGGCCTCTACCAGCACCAGCAGCACCAGGACCAGCAGTGAGAACAGGACGAGGGACTTCAGAGCCATGGTGGCCGCGCTCCCCTGGAGGCCGCACCTGGGAGAGGAGAGAGGAGGAAAAGCCGCCCCTTAGGAAAAGGACCCCGCTGGGCTCCAGGTCACAGTTACCCCTTAGATCAGCAAGAAATCACCCTTTTCCCTGTGAGATCTGCCAAGTTATCGGACACTGTTGTTCTCAAGAGCATTTTCTCCTGCTTGCTAGAGAAACTCCAACCTCCCCGCTGTGGGTGAGCGCCAAAGTGCCAAACCCTGGGCTCC